TATAATAATTACATCCTTATAGTGAAGTTTTAATTAAGAAATTGTGTATAAAAATTAAATGAATGCTAAAACAAGAAAGTTATATTCTTAAATTTTATGTATTAGGTGCATTATTACCTTTATACACATGCGCAACAATCAGAAAGGGATATAAACAACATTTATAAATAGTAATTTGATAGAGAACAATGTTTCATTTCAACGGAGGATTTCGAAAAAAAGCTGTTTTTCTGAATAGTTTACGTCAATATTTTTTATACTTTTAGCAAGCGGATTATAATAAATTTATATATTAAATTAAAGTACACACTCTTTTGTATACGCGTAGAATACTTCTTTGAATAATAAATCGATTTTCAAACGTTTATAAAATGTCAGAGAATGCAATCCTGTAAATTGTAGAACATTGCAATTTCTTTGATAAGTTTCAGTAAATATTTTTTCTACTTAGAGTAAATAGATTTTAATGGAACTTATATTAAATTAAAGTACACACTTTTGTCTTCGTGTAGAATACTTATTTAAGTTTAAAGTCGATCTGCAAATGTTCATATAATGTCGGAGAATGAAATGCTGTAAATAATGCATCTTTGCAATTTCTTTAAAAAGTTTCAGTAAATATTTTTTATACTTTTAGCAAATGGATTTTAAAGATTTTTATATTAAATTAAAGTACACTCTTTTGTCTACGCGTAGAATACAATATGAAGTTATAAATTAAGCATGTAAAGTTTAGGAAATGTCAGAGAATGCAATGCTGTAAATTGTGCATCTTTGCAATTTCTTTGAAAAGTTTTGGTAAATATTTTTTATACTAAAAGTAAATAGATTTTAATGAAAAAATTAGTATTCTACGTGTAGATAAAAGAGTGTACTTTAATTTAATATAAGTTTTATTAAAATCTATTTACTTTTAGTATAAAAAAGATTTGCCAAAACCATTTAAAGAAATGGCAAAGTAGGAAAAATTTACAGCATTGCATTCTCTGACATTTTCTAAACCTTTGCAAATTGATTTATAACTCGAAAAGGTATTCTACGCGTAGACAAAAGAGTGTACTTTAATTTAATATAAAAATCATTAAAATTTATTTACTTTTAATAAAAAAAATATTTACCGAAACTTTCCAAAAAAAATTGCAAAGATGCACAATTTACAGCATTGCATTCTCTGACATTTTATGAAGTTTACATGTTAAATTTATAACTCAATATGGTATTCTACGCGTAGACAAAAGAGTGTACTTTAATTTAATGTAAAAATCATGAAAATCTGCTTGCTATAAGTATAAAAAATGTTTTTTCGAACTTTTTTTTATTGCAATGTATCAAAACAGATCAACTTTTGTTTAAAGTATTTTTTTTGCTTAGGTTATCGCAGGTACTTGAAAAATCGTCATTAGAGTTATGTGGGATATATATAATACAATATATATTATAATATATTCAATGTTAAAAAGAAAAAAGAAAAGATAAAAAAGAAAAAGAAAAGAAAAGAAATAACACAAAGTTGAAAAAAATTTTTTAAACATTAGAAGACCTTGTAGTATGTTTCCGGGGAATATTACATAGGTACTCACCTACCTACCTACCTACCTACCTACCTACCGTTCGGACGAATACAATCACCATATTTCCTGTTCGTCCAGGCAGCAGGAGAAGTTCGGATTCGCAAGGGAGAACATAAAAGAAAAAGTTAGCCGCCGACGCCACCGCCACCGTCTCCACCCCCACCCCCGCCCCTGTTGCGAGATATAATTTACGATGAAATTATGCGCCCGCTCGCCCCCCCTCCCGAATCGACTATAAAATTCTGCTAGGATTTTAAGCGCAAGTTTAACTTGCTTGCCACGTTAAAAATCTCGGAATGCTTTTAAAACTTTGCGACACCGCGTCTGGAACTCTGCCCCCTACCCCCACCCCTCTACTAACCCTAGCCACCCCTGCCGCCGCACCTTCTTCTCGTTGCAGACCGAAACGGTAATAACGTAGAACTTTAACATCCTCGAAAATCATTCTATCGAATTGAAAAAAACTTTATCTTCGCGTTCATCGTTAATTAACTTTGATTCGGTGTAAGAGAGAAAGAGAGAGAGAGAGAGAAAGAGGGAGGGAGGTAGGGAGGGGGAAATGGGGGAAAGGGTGAAGGCTTTCCTTCTCATTGCATCTGTAAAAAGTACGAGTACGATACTCGTACTAATTTCCTCTTACAATTCGGTAAAAACACCCTTTTTCGTACTTGCGAAACTTTGACTACCTTTTGCTTGCTTTACTTTGGTTTTTTTTTTGTTAACCTATCTCGTGTAATAGTATTGGTATTGGTGGTGGTAGTGGTAGTAGTATTGGCCGCGCGTGCAAAGCCAAATTTATTCCTTTTAAAAGATAAACTCTTAACCTTGCTCATCCTCATCCTTCTTCTTCTTCTTCTTCTTTTTCTGTATTTTTTATTTTTTTGTTTGTACTTAAGAGTATTTCAACCAACCGTACACCAAATTCCAAACGAAACGAACGATTTTAACGTTCAACGTCTGCCACGAAAGAAATAATAATAAACTTTCTAACCATCATCGACTTCTCGACTAATTTCCATTTTCCAACGGGGAAAGTTTTCATTCCGAAAGATCGTTCAACCGTGAAAAAAGCCTTTTTACGTATTCGTATAACCGGAAAATATTAATGTTGATTTATTTAATGAAAAAAAAATGTATTATTACTATAGAAAGATAGATATCTTGTTAAAAATGATCAAATTAGTGAGAATGAATTTGAACTTAGGCAGGAATTATATTATTGATCGGTTAGACAGTTTGTAGAAACACACGAGAGAGAGAGAGAGACAGAGAGAAAGATATAAACTCGAATTTAGGGGTTAGTTGTTAAATATATTTGCAGTTTCTGGGATTGCAAACGGACGACGTCTAAACACAATTAACAAACTCCGTCGTGTGTATATTAGGAGACACTGTAAGCTTCGAATTTGCTTCGAAAACCTGTTGCCTTGAAGTTACTTGCCTTTAACTTATCTACGAATCACACCCCCGTCTTTCGACACCTCCTAATGGTGTTCGTATATTAACGAGTTTGCTCGGTTAAACTTCATTTTAACAAGAGTTCGTCTAATACAAAGAAAGTCTCTTATTTATCTGGGTCATTTTATTTTTCCAATTGTGTCACGTAAAATAATAATTATTCGAAATTGGAAATAAATAAGGTAAACCATTTTATAAGACGGTAAATAGGTTCCTAAAAAAATTGGTTTGTTGATTGAAACCATGTTACACGAGACCCCAATGTTCATTATTTTCAAGTAATTTCATTTAGAAATATGTTAAACAATCATTGTTGTTATATCTAATGCTGTAGAAATACAGTGTGTTTTTTTTTTTTTTAAAAAAAAACATAAACCGTGTTATATGAGAGATCTTAAATTTATTATTTTAAGATGATTTCATTTTAAGATATGTTTCGAATAAAATCACATATTATTCGTTGATGTGTAAAAGTAAGTAAATAAGTGTTAATACAAATGTTTTCGCAATTTATGAATAATGTTAGAACAAAATCGTGTTGTAAAAGGATTACCTGTCCTTTTCTCGTACGAATCGCGTTTATCATTATTCCAGTTACGTACGCGTATATATATAGGAAAAGAAGAAAAAAAAAGAAAAAAGAAAAAAAAAAGAGAAGACAAAAAAAGAATTACGAACACACCGGTAATTGGTTCTGAATTGTTTCTTTTTCCACCGAATACGCAAATATTGTGTTGCGAGATTCGCGAAACACGGTCAGAGGTAGGTAGCTCAGTGGCCGAGCCAGTCCCGTGCTTTGTTAATTTTGCAAACTTATTCCCCCCATGCTCCGTGCTCGAATGGGGATGTGTATATGCGAGTACCACGCTAGCTAGCGCTTTATTAATCATTTTTGCCTCGGTGAAAAATTGAATTTTTAACATTGCAATCCTGCGAAAGCTCAGTACGTTGCCAACGCCACATACGTCCAGCGTATATCCAACAAGGGTAAATGCATTCGTGCCATATCATCGAAGCTTTGACTTTTCTCTCTTTCTCTTTCTCTCACTCACACTAACTCACTCACTCACTCACTCATTCACTCATTCTGCATTCGTATCAAATGAACTTTATCGATTTGTATGTGTTTCGAGATTTGCAATAAAATTTTGTCGCAAATAATACATACGCTAGGAAAAGAATTATGGAATATTATGGAAAAATAATAAGCAAGGGAAATGTTTAAACTAAATATTACGATTAATGAAACTGCTTGTTCTTTTATTTTTGATATCTATCTCTCTCTCTCTCTCTCTCTCTCTTTCTCTCTTACTCTTTCTCCTTGTGTTTTGTCGACAAATTTCCAAGGACTTGGGGTGACTAAGTTAATTCACAAAGTTGCGTATTAAATAACTACCTTAATGAGAACCAACTGGGTTAAATACCCTTTGGCTATGTAAGCCACGATTTACAAGAAATACAGACTCGCTATTCTCCTATTCTCATTTAACAACCGACACCTCCACCCCCTATTCCTCCCCCTTTCCCATTCCATCTCTTTTTAACTTTCATTTTTCGTTTTAATAAACGTTAACGACGAAATTTATTTTCTTACTTCGAAACAATTTAACCCTGGACGACGTAACGGGGTTAAAATATCCAGTTACGAATAATCCTTCCACCCTCTCGAGTTAATGAATCTTTTTCTTTTTTTTGTGTGTGTTCTTTTACTTACTCACTTACTTACTTACTTACTTATTTATTTATTTATTTAACGAGAAATCTCGTTAACCCATAGAATTAATTATCTTTTACAGTTTGTCACGGGATACAGCAATTCGAGGAAACGCCACAGTACACGGAAGTTAATCCCGGACAGGATGCAAAGTTGATCTGTCGTGTTCTCGGCAAGAGGGGTCAGTGCATTTGGCAGAAGGATCAAAAGGTACGGTTAACTGACGAATTATTTATGATATAATTTATTATTCACTTATGTATATATATATATATATATATATATATATATACATATCTTTATCAAAAGCTTTGATTCTCGTTCCTAAGAATAAAATATCCGAATACGAAATAAAAAATAACGAACAGAATTTGATGCTTTATCAAAATGGAGAACAACAAAAAATTAGCCGTTCTACAATATTTAAAAAAAAAAAACAGAATAAAAATAAACGATGGCATCTTGATATCTCATCCGAAAAAATAAGAAATAAGTATCTCAAAAAAAATACTTTCACGTTTAACATTATTACATTTGCCTCCTTGAATTTATTTCAACTATTACGGAGAAACATTTTTTTTCACTTCAACATATTATATATAATATATTTTATGAATTATTTAAAAAAAAGAAAAAAAAAACTCACTCCCCCTCCCCCGTATCATCGACAATTATTATTTCGTTGTTTCATTTTACAATTACTTGTCAAATCAATATTATACGAAATATAAAACAACTATTACATGTTAGAATATTTCTGATATATCATCGAAGTATTAATTCAACAATAAAGAAAATAAAATATAAACAATTCGTAACATTTAAGTGAGACAAATCCTCTTATTGTATATATACGTCAAATAAACAAAAAAAAAGAAAAAAGAAAAAGAAAGGATGTGTAAGACGATAAAATTTCTTATAAGAACACTGACGTACTTGCAAGAACTTTCTTCTTCTTCTTCTTCTTAGTTGGAAAAGGGACTTCATTGTTTCTCGTGTATCACTCGTAAAAGCTACCTATCCACCTCCACCCCCTTCCCCCTGCCCCTTTCCACCATTTCGAAAGGAAAACTACGCGTACCGTTGCATTGCTGTTGGTAACCGACTTTTCCTATCCCAAGCTTTTCCTTTTGTAACGCGATAAACTTTTGCTTCAGTTTAAGTTTGTATTTCTCGAAAGTGGACATTATACGCGGTGACCGACGATAAACAGTCGTTTGGATCGGATTCAGAGAAAGAAAGAGAGAGAGAGAGTGAAAATAAGGGGGTGAGAAAGGGGTAGAATGAATCGTACTCATTCAACTATCTCGAAACTTTCTTCAAACTTGAGTTATTATTTTCTCTTTCACTCTTTCACTCTTTGTTTTCCCTTTTTAGAACAAAATACTCGTGTTTATGTGTGTGTGTATTCAAATGCATCATCACCATCACATAGAAACCACACCTAATTCATTTAACGTCAACACGTACATATGGTAAAGTGTAAAGAGGGGGAGAGGTGGGAGGGGGGAGGGGAGAAAAAATGTAGAGTACACGCGGCCGAATATTTTTGTTGTTGTTGTTGTTGTTGTTGTTGTTGTTGATGCAAAACAAAAAAAAACCGAGTGTATTTTCACATTAAAAACGTTGACGTAATATAATATTTCAGTATATTTTTTCGTCCTAGTTTTTTGTTTTTTTTTTATTTTGTTGTTGTTTTTGCAAGATACACGAATGCGTGGAAAGGATTCTGGACGTTTGGCACGGTGAAAAAAAAAAAGAAAAAAAGGAAAAAAAAAAGAGGAATAAAATTTAGGGTCGAACTTTAAAAGCTCGACGGGGGAAAGTACTTTGACTAGTTTCCCAAGCACTTTGAGTAGGTGAAGTATGTATCTACATAAACACACACATACACACACACACACACATATGAGTGTGTGTAATATGTATCATTCTATACTTTTGTATAATATGTATTTATATATATATATATATATATAGAAACAAGGAGTTATATTTTTCTAGATACGAATGATGTAATTTCGTATGAAAATAAGAGAGAAAAGTAGAATAAAAAATAAGAAGGTAAAACACGTTGATGGAAGGAAAAAAAAGGAAAATAAATACGCGTACGAGAAGAATGTGTATAGTTTAACTCGATAGAAAATGAGAGGATTACTATGGTACATAGTAAATCCTAGAAACAGCACGAAACATTTTTCCTTATTCTTCCTTTTCTTCTCTCTCTCTCTCTCTCTCTCTCTCTCTCTCTCTCTCTCTCTCTCTCTGTGTTTCTTCTATCATTTCCAGCTTTTACAACGCGTGGAAAAGGAATGGTGGTGATGGTGGTGGTGGGGTGGTGGGGTGGTATAAAAAAAAAGGGAATCGAAAGGGTGGATAAAATAGACGTTCTTTCCCTTTTTCTTTTTCTTTTTCTTTTTCTTTTTCTTTTTCTTTCTCTTTTCATACCTTGTCGCGCGTGCGAACATTTGATTGGCCGTTTTGTGTGCTATGCAAACCTCAGGATGTGTACCGTGCAAACGCGAATAAGGAAAATTAAACGTTGAACACAAATTTAGCTTGAAATTTTGTATCCTATCTTTGATTCATATCGTTTCTCACCTGGCAATGGTAAAAATTGTTTGAAACTTTTATCTCTTTGCAAAAGATATTAAATATCTTTTGAAAAGTAAAGCTAAAAAAAGTTAAGATAAATCTAAATGTTTATTCGTTATATAGAGAACACATTAACGAATTTAAAAAAGAAACTGTGGGTGGATGAGAAAATGGTTTACAATGTTTATCATGTTTTGTTTCATAATTTTTATTCTTTTTATTTTTCTTAGAAAAACCGAAAAAAACAAAGAAAGAAAGAAAGAAAGAAAAGGGTTACTTAACTGTATACGCGTATACACATAAATATAATATATTTGAAATTACTTCTTTTCGTAATACAACGAATCATTTTTCTCAACAGCCAATCGTACAATGTTTTTCAACGTATTTTCTTTTCTCGCGATTTTTCGTTTACCTTTTTACCCGTCCTAAATCGTTCGTTCGTTCGTACGAGAAACGTCAATAAATTTTCATTTCTATTAAATAAACGTTATATACTAACACACCAAATGTAAATCGTGAGGTGGGGGAGCAATGGGGAGGAGAGGGGGGAGG